GGAGATTTTAAGACTTTTTCAGAACTGTTCTTGACATGCACAAGCTTCATCTTATGTCAGCTAAAAGATGACCTCAAAGTACGTCTAACTGGAAGTTTGACTCCAATGACCACTCAGCCTCTAGACAGAAAATTTTTTCCACTAAATACAAGAGTCCAAATTACATTTAGTAGTATCGTACAAAGTGACAAACTTAGTAACTGCTGTGATAGGATTTAAACGGGGAGCACTAAGGGATCACTTGATCTTGCCCAAAGTACTGTTATTTTGGTCTTGATCTCTTCCACGAAGACTAGGAGAAATAGGATGTCCTGGCTCTAAGAATAAAGGGGTTGGTTTTGGCCACTGCATTTTACCCCAAGCATTTCATTTCCATCGCTCAGTTGTGGATGCTTTTCCTCATGCATCTCAAATATTCAACATCGCCTTAGCGATTTTTTTTTAAAGCCTATCCTGTGCGCTCATTTGTGTTCAATTTCCTTCGGTGTAAAATGTTAGGCATTCCGTGCTATTCAAACAAAGTCAAAACAAAGCCTCCAAACAAGCACTTCTGAATGTACCTAGTCATCTGAGTAATTAGACATTTTCCTAGTTCCAAATGCACCAAAAATCTACAGTGAGCCTCAAACGAACGTGCCAGCAGTTATCCTAACAAGAGTTCTCTCCTAAATGTTAGCATACCAACAGATCAGGAGGTTAAGATACATTTAAATTAACACCTGTCCCTACCTGAATTAACCAGCATTTTTAATTATGTAGCATCACCTGATCATAATTATTACTCGAGCAAGTTGTCCACCTTTCTCTGCCGATATGGCACATAGTTGCCATTGCTCGAGCCAGGCCAGAACACGCTCTCACTGGCCAAGCAAAGCTCCCATTCCCAGTGTAGGCACGCATCCTTTGTACCAAGAGGCAAAGCCTCTCCCTTCCGAGCGCATTTGCAGCAAACCCTCACGGAGAATAGCCAGCTGTGGACTTCATGCAGGTCACAACCCCCTCAGCACTCGGCTGGGAGAGGGAGTTAACGCTATGTAGGGGTGCAAACATACAGCTTGCTGGAGTGGCTCCATGCCCCAGCAGTCCTCACTGTGTCCCTCCTGGTCACATGTCTGTGCTGTTACCTTCACATGCTCGCAGACCCCTCTGCAAACCACTGCAACTCATTAGCCTACAGGAAACCAACAGGGAGACAGGTCAGAAGACAGGAGCTGGCACAAGAAGAGGAGCCTGGGGTGTGAGCAAACTGTTAGGATCCACTCAGCTGCTGTGAATCCACAGCCTCACCCCAATCAGTTTCCACTGCCCCTGGGGATATCCGCACCAGGGCTGGTGTGAAAGTCTGTGTGCTGCAAGGCCATCCCACAACACGCTGAGCAGTAACATCCCTGCACCAGCAACCTCTTGTTCGAGTCCAGGGGATGTGTGTAGATTCCCTTCATGTTTCCTCACCCAGCAGGCAAGCTAGCATGTGAAATGCTCAGGCAGTGCCCAGTAAACAGCCTCAGATCTCCAGCATCATCTTTTCCCAGGTCTGCTCCACAGCTTCCTATGTATCTCTTGCTCCAGCAGACCCCCTTCCAACAAAGCTTTCCCCCCAAGAGCACTCTTCCTCTAGACAGCCTCCCCATGCTGCTGTCTCCTCACGAGGCTCCTTCAAGACAGGATGGTACTGCATCCTGCCATTCACACCCACAGCTTCATCAAGAGACTGGAAATAAAAAAAGAAAAAGGAAAAAAACCCAACACCGCCCCCAATAATTCTTACTTTTCAGTGTGAGGAAACAGAGGGAAAAGTTTTGATTCTCACAGTCATGCAGCAAGAAGACCACTCTTAGTTTTTACAGGTGGTAGGGTGAACTTTACATAATGTAACCTTCCGCAAAGGAAAATATTTCAATGCACAGAAGAAAGAAATGGCAGAAAAAGGTAGGCATCTCTCCCTTCTGGTATGTAGCAGTTACGCCCAGATATTGAGACAGTTTGAGTCACATTTCTGGGATGACTAAAAGAAAGTACTTACATTTCAGAAGCACTACGGTCGGTCAAAACCCCCCAGAGCTACATGCGCTGAAGAAAGAAGTCAGAAAATCATTTCTGCGAATGGCAGAAGAGAAAGGGAGACCAGCACAAGTGCAAAACACCACCTAACCTTAATTTTCACTCAAAACACACAATTGCAGAACAATGCTATGGTTCTTCACTATTATTCTTCCTTAAGTTTGGACACAGCCTTTTCACACAAGGAAACTCTACAGAGGCACCAAGGCAGCCTTCCAGATTTTACTGACGCCCGCCCCAAGCTGAAAGGACTTTCAGTAAATCACCCACCAAAGAAGAGTGTGTTGAAGAGCAGTGCTTTAGAGATCTTCCTCCCACAGTCTAGTTCTCAGCCATCATCTGGGAAGCATACACCACATCTGCATGAGGCCCTCCACCTCAACACCCACCCACACAATTTAGGGCAATGCAGGCACAGCCCGCTCCAGGCGCTGCTTCCACCCAGCCCCTCCTGCTCCAGCTTACTGTAGGAGGAACGGTTTAGAAACGGGGTAAGATTTATTGTACCAAAAAGAAAAGGGAAGGAAGCAACATTCCCTCCCCAAACACATGCCCCTCTTCCATGAATCCTCTGACTTTCTGCCAAGTTCAAGCCTCTTCTCAACTAGGAAGGCCTGTCCTGTCAACAGAAACCCAGAGGGGAACTTGTAACTGGACGAAATCTCAGAAGAGACCAAGGCAATTCCACAGTACTTGACCACACACCAAGGCTAACTCTCCCCCACATCCTCCTTTCACGTCCCCACAGATGTCTGCTTGAACAACAATCTCATTTTGAGTAGTTTCCCCTGCAGAACAGTTTTCATTCCAGTCTCTCTCACTTTAACACAAAGAATCTTAAATGCCATTGTGCCACAGGAAAAACCATTACAATATGAACTTAAAATACAGAGGCAATAGTATAACTTAAAGGTTTTCAAACTCCTGTCTTCTCTGACAGAGAGGTTTGCTGCAAAGCCTGTAATGAAATGCAAAGCGTGGACCCAGTGTAGCATCACAAGACACGATGTTAAATGATTAGCAACAGCAGAATTGAGCATCCAGGCTCTGCATCCCAGCTGCTGCTACAGAATTCACTGTTTGCCCAGCACAAGCAGCGTAGCACACACCTTACTGTGCAATCAGACTAACATCACTGCAGGAGCTGCAACCTCGGCTGCTCCTGACTTCATTTCAGATTAACAAAAAACACTTGGCACCCACAGCTACAACTGCAGACCTGCCAAACGTTGCACCCCGTACACAGCCCTCACACGCTTGACCAGCCCCTGTGGGGCAGTCCATGTCCAGCGGGGCTGTGGAAAGACCTGCTTATTTGGTCAGCGGCGGCGGATGCGGCAGCTGGATGTCTGCTTACCCCCCTGGGCTCTAGGAGAAAAGGGCACCCAGGAACAGCAAGCAAAGGTGATGGCAACAACAGGGCTGAAACCAGAGGAACCCACCCACACAAACTCCCTTATACAAAAGCAATGTTCCTAGAAGGTCCCAGTTGCCCCAGTTCTCCCATCGCTGGCTGCCTCAGGCCCCAGGGCATGCAACCTGAGCACTTCCACCACCTGAGCATCCTGCTTCACAGCTTGCTTCAGTGACTCCAAAATTTCTCCTTCAAGCCCCAGTTCTGCCCCACCTGCCCAGATACCCACGTCCTTTGCATCACCCAAATTCCTCCAGGCACCTCAACCAGCTGCCCGCAACCTGCTGTCCACCTGCCCAATGCAATTCAAGCACCCAGGACCCACCCTAAATGCCAAGTCCTGTGCAGATGCACCCCCATGCCCTACCACATCAAGGCAGGGCCAGTCCTTACACTGCATTTTCTGGTCATCTACAGATTTGCAAACAAGCAAGCTATGTTGTGAGCTCGTTTTCAGATCTGCAACTATCAGCATAAATGATAATGCAGAACTAAAAGTCCTTGACAGCGACAGACATTTGTTTTTCTATTTCAGTTTAACAGGCACTGTTATGAAGTTGGATGAGATGGAAACCCAACTGCCTTCCTGTAGTCGAGGGCACGAAGGAGAGAACAGTTTTCAAAATGGCGTTACAAGAGGGCCTCCGTGTCCTCTGTACACCACCAGGGTCGATGCAAACCGCACTGGAATCCTGTGCAAAAATCAAAAGTGCGCCAACTGCTCCTCCAGCTCCTCCCATACAGGCAACTCCTTCCACAGCAGAGGGACTCCTTGAAGAGGGGCACGTTCCCCTTGGTGCTATTCCCCTTCCAAGACCTCCCGCTGCAGAGAAGAAAGGCTAAACAAGACACAAGCAGAGAAACTTGCTGCCCAACAGATACTCCTAGGCACTGTCAGCACAGATAAGCTGTTATAAACCAAGATCATCTGCAATTGCAGGACTCGGGTTTTCTTCTGCCCCGTGCTATCTTCCTGCCCACGATGTCAAAGCACTACGACTGTGGGTAATGTTTAAGCTAAGATAGTCACTAGTCCCATGAGCAAGCTGCTAGCCCTGCAAGACAGGGGCACTGCCATCAGGTCCAACCTGCTATCTGGATGGCACAGAAGACAGAGGGATTTGGGGGGTTTGTAAAGGTTGCAAAGCTTTACATTCCTGCGAGGTCAGCCTGATGACTCTGTTCCCTTTTTGCTCACTTGCTGCGTCCCCATTAAAAAAAGAGAAAGAGGAGCACTTCAGAGATTCATCTGTGGCATGTTTAAATCCTCAAAGGCGTTCTGTTAAAGCCAGACATGAAAAGCACAAATTTTATAAAAACTAAAAGGGATCCCTCCCATGCTGGCTAAAAAAAGCACAGGCAGGGATGTATCCGCATGTTTATACACACACACCAGAGGCGGGGAAAGATTCGAGACTGGGAGCGGGTGAAAAACCAGCAGAAGAGAAACTGATGCCCACCCCGAGGCAACTGACGTGGGGCATTTACCAGGCAAAGGCCCCGTTAACAGGACACCCCAGACGGGATGGTGGAGCACGGGGAGCGCGACCCAGTGCGAGAAGGAGCTGGACACCCCAAACCCTGCCACCAACACACACCGCATGCCAGGTTTTTTTGGGGGGCACTCAGACGCATGGGGGGGCCATAGCGTGACCCCCTGATGCCACCAACCACACCGCATGCCAGGTTTTTTTGGGGGGGCACTCAGACGCATGGGGGGGCCATAGCGTGACCCCCTGACAGACCTGGGGCAGAGAGCAGCACCCCCTCCCTTTTTAGGGTCGCGGGGTGCCTTCACACAGTCCCTGAACCCCCCACCCAGCCCAAAACCCATTGAAGGGGTAGGGGGAACCCTGTCCATCGCTGTGGTAACGGGGGGGGACACACGACACCCCAAAACGGAGGAAAGGGACCCTAAAACTGAAGGAAGGACCGCGAAGCTGAGGGGAAAGGGAGGTTGAGGAAGCAGCCCCCCGGGGCCTCGCGGCTGGGCGCGGGCCTCCGACCCGCG